TTTATCATGTTCATCTGCGGATGAACCCTGGCGTGAGATTAGTGCTCCTTAACCATAACATACCGGTCGCATAAATGGGAAAGAAAGATTTACCCACTATTTTTTAATACGAATACAGACTGTGCAAGCGTGGCTTGTCGATCCTTTTGCATTTGATATTTAAAGTTTGCAGCATAATGTGTTAGAAAAGTTATCACAGGGATAACGGGCTTGTGGTGCACAGTATGCGTGAGAACCCACATGCATGTGCTGTGGTCCCACGATTTGTCATTCATTTTTTCGAGCCAATGAGCTTCGCGCTTTGTGCAGTATCTGGTTCTCAGTATCCTAGTGGATTATATATTGCGTAGAAATGCAGCTTCTCAGTTTCCTGCTAATGGAATGTTACCTCATCAGTGAATATGTTGGAATGAACGTTTATGATCCCGCCTGAAACAAATTGGGCAGCGTAACCACACGTTTGCGACGAAGTGGGTTCAGTTGCTTCCCTTTCAGCCTACACTTGTAGATGAAGATTTATGGCTTGCTCGGGAGTCCAACGGAAAAGTTGATGCTGAAGTGGCATGAGTAGTTAAATTAATTAACAAATAAATAAGAGCAGGGTCTGTGCACTGCTAGACACGCTCATCAAGGCATGATCAATGACTAAATGGAGGGTGTTTTGCAACTACATGTTGTGTGGGTGGATTGTGACGCACAGTCACAATTTGGGCCGCGATTCCCAATGAAGTGAACCTTGATCATGCAATCACTAGGACAGTATTTAAAGCGGATAGAATTTGGGTGTTTACCCGCTGAAAACACTACACTCATAATCAACAAATTTCTGTCATCTACATGTTATCGAACGAAGGGTGGTTAGAGGGTTTATGTGTTCTCCGGGACTTGCAATTTTGTTGCAGATGTTTCATTGTCAAACTAGGCATCATCCTCAGTACCACTATTAGAGTGTGATTCGCAGAGCTTGGTAAGCCACTACCAGGTTCAAGGGAATATCGATGGTCTTTTGCTTTGTATGTCAGTCTCCGATTGGCTCACGTCGGTCGGTCAGGTGGTCGCGTCTTCGCCCTGTCGATCTGGTACTTAGTGTTGTCCTCACCTGCAGAGATTCGTAGACACCCTCTAGTTCAAGGTGCTTGTTGATTGAGTCCCGCCCTGAATGTCATGCCACGATGAACTCACACGATCTGCGGTTCTTCGCCCTTTCAAGTAGCTGGACGTTTCAAATATCGAACTGAGGACCTTTGGCATCCATATGTACTGACTTTAGTGACTTTTCATCATGGCGGCGGATGGCCAGACTGTGTTCATGCAGTCTTGTGCCAAGCTTCTTCGCAGTCTGGCCCACTTAGTACTTGTCGCAATTTTTGCAGCAAATTTTGTAAATCACACCTGATGTTTCTTCTTTATTTAGCTGGTCCTTTACCCTAAATGGTTTACTCCGAAGGGTTTCCGTTGCTTCATGTACAACTTTGATCCCGTGAGTCATGAAAAGCCTCGATATTATTTTCGAAGTTCTATGGATATAAGGTAGGACGGTGGTTTCCCTTTTCGTTGCGCTGGTGGAAGCGTGTTCTGGTTGATTCTTCGACATCAGGCAGTATAGAATGAAACTTTTAGGGTACGAATTCCGCTGCTTAGGCGATTAGAAAAGTATACAAATAGTTAACTGACTTTTGGCATAGAGATAAGAAGGAAAGGAAAGTCACGGCACGGCAATAAAACCAAGAGAATAGTCTAAGGAATAAATTAAATGTTGTTGGCTATGAGACAATAAGAGTGTATACTTACAGGAAAGGAGTATGGTGAGAAAGAACAAGCGAAGTAACACCATCATCTCTGGGACTGTTTCCATGGTACCTGCGAGGTAGTCCATCGAGAAATTTCACTCACACCTCCCCTCCCATCTGGTCATCCATCAGTGTGGCTTAGAAGTGGGTTAGTCACCACCAATTTTCGTTACCTTGAGGTCCGTTTTTTTGAATCTGGCCACTCACCCAGGCAGCCCGTTCGTCATTCAATTGTTTGTTTTTTTGTGTGCCCATATGATGACCGAATTCATCGGAATTGACGGTTAATGTCACCAGGTGTGAGATCAACAGTTCAGAGTGTACTATTTGGCTCAGCCTATTTTTGATGTTTACCAGGTGTCTTTGGCTATCTGCCTTTGGTGGGTAAACATACTGCTTGGAAGCTTCTTCCTAATACCTCAGGAGAACGGTTCAATGGTGGCCACTCATGAAGAAGAGAAAACAATACAGAAATGTAAAGCAATATAATATGATACAAAGAAAAGGGTAGGATATGGCCTGCCACAAGATAGCGCAGGATGCCTTTTTGCTGGTATGATACACTTGTACAAGGAGAAATCGGTTTCAAGTTATTAATAGTTTAGCTCTCCTTTCAACCCAAGTTGAAGATGTGAATCTTCAGGATTGCATGATGACCATCACGAAAGTAAAAGCACATGGAATAGTTTAGAACTAAACGATGCACGTCTATTTTCTCTTCACCTGTAAATGGGGCGTCAAGGTTGTGATTTTCGAGTGGAACAGAAGATGTGCCGGAATGGGGTGAACTTGGATCCGTTAGCATATGTCCTTTGGGCCAGATGTAATTACCACATGTGTAGACACATGAAAACCGAATTTTTTCATCATATTCTGCATAGTGAACAAAACCACCAAATTCATTTCAAATTTGGCAAAGTTCGCCCTTTCCCGTAATTTCAATGGCAGCTTGTTCCATAAATGAGCATATCTTACCAGGAAAATGTTAGAGAGGATTTTTAACTTCCTCTTGTATGAGCAATATGCAACCCCTGTTTCGTGTGGCGAGGGTAGCAGAATCTTGACAGGTGAGCGCTATTCCGGTAGTGTATACCCCGCAAAGTACAATATTGTAGGAAAGGAACGAGATTGTTGCTCAGTCGGCGTGGTCACAAAGGGTCTGATTGACAGCGGCGACAACGGTCTTCATAGTCCATAGCGATAGATCGTCCAGTGAGTGCTTTCGTGAATGACTGTTGGATATTTTCTAGTGCTATCCTATCTGTCCTACACAGGTGACTGTGGATGATTGTGCAGTACTCTAACATAGGTCTTACAATGGGATTTCAGTCACCCGTGTATACACTCACCAATCAGCCGAGTAATCGTCGATCAGCTCAGACGTTCACTTATCCGCTGGTGGATCGAGTCATTGCTTCTCTCTCTCTCGCCGATTCTTGCATTCAACCTTCCTTTCATCCGTTCACCCACTAATCCATCCAAGATTTCTCCCAATTCACTTGTTTATTCATTCACCGATTTTCCAACTTTCCGTCGTTCATTCACTTTCACACCCTTAGCCTTCAACTACGCCTTCATCCTTTCATTGAGCCATTTATCAAGGTATCAATTTCTATTCATTCTCCCATCTATCTACCTTCTTGTTTAATCAGTAAGCTGTCCATCCATTGCTCCAACCCGTCATCCTTACAACTTGTCCATGCATCTATTCGTACAATACTTCATCTGGTTCAAAAGAAACTTGGTCATCGGGAGCCTATTCGCAACACTCGTTGTGTAAATGGATAACGACAAGCAGCCTTGGTGTGGACCAGGATTAACTACTTAGTAAAGTTTGGTGGTGTAGCCTTAGACACTTTGTCTAGTAACGTCTAGCTCCCTGGTCGTACTTGTATTTCAGTTATCTCTTCTTGAACAGTTCACACAAATCCAAACCCGGCGGTGAAGTGTAGTGTTACCAGTGGTTGACAGCTACTATTTAATCGAGATTCTCTTCATAGTAACTCGCAGTCCACAGTGAGGACGCGTTTTGCAATCTATCCACACAGCAAGTGCTTCCAAAAGAACTCCCAATGGGTAGATAACCGATGTGACACGCACTACGCTACGCTCGCTGACTTTAGGGGTTAAGACCTCTAGTGGTATTCTCTACCTCTTTGCTTTGAGCCGCAGTCCTGCTACCTCTACCCCAGGAGTACAAATGAGCATGAAATCGGTCATGGGGTGCAGTGTTGTGAGCCTAACAATATCTAACAGTTAGAACTTGATCACTGTTCCGCAATAGGATGCCATTTGTGGCTCGAATGTTTTACAGTGCATCTGGATGCGTTGATTCAAGTGCACATGCCACCGTACGACAAATAGCTTATGTTGCTATGCCCTCAGTAGGGCATACAGTTTGTAATGCATGATTAAAGGACTGCTGTTTAGGCGGAGATCTTGCTCGTATTCGATATTCCTGCATCCGCAAGCGCTGGTTGTTTCTGTGGTTTAATTTGGAGCTGCTGGACAGGCAAACCGACAGAACCATAACGATGAACACCTTCCGCACTCTACTCCACGTGTTCATTTTACTCTATCCAATTGACACATGTACACACGAACACGCTTCAGAGCTTACAGATGGTCACACGCCAGCTGCCGTTGGGTTAATTCGAAACGTTCAACCATCCACCTAAAACATCGGTTAGGCTTAGGATATTACACTCCTGCTCGCCGACAATCAAAAACGAAGACTGGGCCACGATGTGAATCTATTTAATCAGAAGGCAACATACTGTTAATAAGACAAAATACGCTCCGTTCAGCGATTCCGATTCGTTCTTCTTTGATTGGTTGCCGCCGGCGGAAACATAGCCTATTCATCCATCAAGGTAATTGGTAGTGCGGGGTTACGACGCGATTCTCGCACACACGAGTGGGCGTTGTTGCTCGACTGGCGGCGATAGAGCAACTCTCAGACGGTTGGCCCAAATTCGTTCAGCTCGCCCGTTCGATACGCAAGTAGCATGATTGATGTTACAACTTACCACACAGAATGGTCGTGGTCATTATTTTCTTACTGGTAGACCTTACCGTAATGTTTTGCTTTTAAACGGCGTCGGTCAGCCGGTGGAATTAAGTCACTTCGCTAACGATGGATTCAGTAGTTTGTCATTCCAGCAAGCTATTACCTGTCATTCCCAATTTTTACTACTCTTGTTTGTGCAGCGATGGGGCAAGGTCCAGAAAAGGTCAACCTGCACTTCGAGCAATTCTACGATGGTGTCGACGGCAACCTGAGGGCCAGATTCACAAGTCGCCCACTGATAATTAATGTGATGGAATACTCCACTGCAGGAGCAGTGGAGAAGATGATTCGAGTTGGAGCTGATCTTGCTGAACTGTACACAGGTAAGGCCAGTTGATAGGTTAAACTGACCTGATTTGTAACTGGTATTCAGTCTTTACGAGAATCAACACTTGGCAATCACCAAGGCAGGATCGAAAAGTGTTTGCTCTACTATCGACAACAATAGGTCTGAGTCGTTTACTCGTAAAGACAGTTATATCGACCAATGTATTTTGACCGTTTAGTTTCCGTTGTAGCTAAAATTTCTTGACAGAAGTTCCTTGGCACTAAGATTAATTGGTAATCTTATTCGCTCACAGAACCGTCGAGGCGTGATTAAACAGCTCATTTGGAGGCTGTATTACGATGCACGCAATCATGCGTTGACAATGGTGGCTGGGGAATCGAATCACGGACATTCTCATTATCACAACTCTGCTCACTCGTCAAAGTTCAGTTAGGCGGCGAATAGCCTCACCAAATCTCTACGACCCCGTGATCTCGCTTTGACCGGCGCGGGAGATCTGCACACAGGGTGCCCGCGAACTCCAATGTCGAGTCAGCTGGCTGTGCAAATCATGAAGAGCCCGATGCTGAATGTTCATAAGAGGAGTCCTCGCAACAATGAACCGTTTACGATTGACCAGACTCGGCTCGAGAAATTGCGTCAGTAGTACTCCACCTTTATGAAGTTACTCAGCGCTTAATGAGAGTCATTAAATTCACTGCATTGTCCCGCAAAAAGTCAGGAGGATTAATAATGTATATTAGTTAACATAGCTATTCAGCTCCGTTAACAAAAGTTTAAGAACTGCACAATAAAAACATGCGAAAATGTGTCATACTAAATCTTCCCCAGGGTAGGAAGTTTGATTTTGCTTGTGAAATTATGGAGAACGCGGTCAAAGATATATTCGCAGCCGCCTCGACATAGTTACTAGGTATTGACACTTTGAACCTATTTATGGGTAGACGGAAACGGAAACGCTTTGCTTGCATGATACCAGATACATCCAGAATTTCATCACAATCATCCTTATTATACGCGTCAGCTAGTGGTGGGAAACACCTCAGCTACTGTGCCGCAATACATAAATGAAAAAGGAAAATAAATACAAAAGTCGCATGCCAGCTGAGCTACCAGCAACGGATGGACATCGTTCCGATAAGCTACCAGCCGGCCACTAGGCAAAAAGAAATATTATTGTGTTTTACACTAAGAAATGAGATCGTAGGTGGAGGGGGAGGCTAAAAGGGGTGGGGAGGGACAAAGAAACTCATAGCAGGAACGCCACTGAGGTCGGCTCCTTGCCATATCAGCAAGTGTATCCAGCCAAACGTGCTCATCGTCTTTCGGACCCCAACCAGGGAACCGTAACGCACCAACCGAGGCAAGCTCAGAAGTGAGGGCATTCATTCGTCTCGACCAAGTCATCGCTTGGCCACCCCTTCTCTTCTTCCATCCACATCCCCGGTGAGCAAACAACGCACGTCGCTGGAGTCGGTGGGCTGGTATGCGTAACACGTGGCCGCGTCATCGGAGCCTGGTGCGTGAAATGACAGTGCTGAGCTGTTCAGTTCCTTTTCCTGTGCCGTAAGCAAGGCGTCTAACACGCTCGTTGCTCACGCGGTGTTCCCACCAGATGTGATCTAAATTGCGAAGGTACCGGTGGTCGAACGTAACTAGCCTATTTATGTCCGTTGATATAAGGGGCCAGGTTTCATAAGCGTGCAGTAAGATCAAACGTACCGCTGTATTGTGCACTCTACCCTTCAGGGCGAGAGTAATGTCGCGCCGCCGCCATAGGTGGCGAAGGTTAGCAAAAGCTCGAAGTGCTTTTGCTATACGGTTCGTGATCTCGCCTTCGATCCCAAGCTCGCTGATACAACTTCCCAGGTAGTTGAATTTTTCAACGAGTTCTACCTGGTCCCCACCAAGGGTCAGCGCATGAGGCGATCCCTGCCAATCTTGGAGGAACGCTTTGCATTTCGATGGTGCAAAGCAGGGCCCGAAGCCGCTGACAGCCAGTGCTAATCTGTCCAGCGCGGCTTGGCACGTCTGGGAGCTGTCACAGATCAGGGCAATGTCATCGGCATACTACAACTCGAGAAGTCGTTCTCCTGGGAGCAGATCCACACCTTCCAACTCATGACCTGTAAATGCAATCTCCAATGCTTCGTGCAATAGCGAAGTTGAAAAGAATAAAGGTGATAGCAAGCATCCCTGTCTCACACCGCTGGAGATATTAAAGGGCGACGACAACATGCCGTAAGCCCTCACTCTGCCCGTGATACGCGCGTATAATGCTCGGATAATATTCACATATTTCTCGGGCACACTTTCCTGAGTAGACAATTCCAAAGGGCACATCGATCAACCGAATCGAAGGCACATTTGATGTCGAGGAACACGACTACGGTGGGCCGCCAATATATGTGACGGTGCTCAAACAACAGACGAAAAGTGAAGATGTGGTCAATGCAGCCACGACCTCGACGAAATCCAGCTTGATTCTCACGAATCTGGATTTCACGAGCGCCAGTCAGTCGGTGAAAAATGACAGAGGCAAGCAATTTAGAGGCAATTGAGATCAGACTGCTTCCTTCATGGTTGTCGCATTCCGAACGCCAGCCTCCTGTGAAGATGGGAACAATAATGGAGCGGCTCCAGTCGGTTGGGACAGTCTCCTGCTCCCACAGTTTCACTAGTAACTCATGTAAAGTATCAACAAGAGCAAAGCCTCCGAATTTGACGAGAGCTGGAGGAAGATCATCTGGTCTCGCGACTTTATTCAATTTCAACAGTGCGATCTCACGTTCGACTTCTGAGCGAGAGGGTGGATCCAAGGGAACAGCCCACGGAGCAGGGCGAGCACTGGTAGGCGAAGAAACGGACAATCCTAGCCGATTAAATTGATTTCCAAAATGCTCAGCCCAACGCTTTAAAAATTTTGACAAATTGTAGGTAGGCTGTCCACACTCTGCACGTATAGTTTCACTAACACCAGCTCTCCTGTTTCCCATTTCCCGTATCAGGCGGAATAACTATGGAAGACTACCAGGGGCAGCGGCCACTTCCATCTCTGATGCACGTTGAGACCACCAGGATTCGCGGTCTCTCTTCAGGCCAGCACGGATTTTTGCCCGGAGTTCTTTGCGAGTTTCATGGTGTTTGTTTCCAACCGGGATATGTCGGCGAGCATCGATAAGTTCCAGAGATTGCGAAGAGACCTAATGCCCATGTTGGCTATTAGACAAACCACATGAAGATTTGCCTGATGCTAGTAAGGTCTGGTGAATATGTGACCAGTGACCATCAATGCAATGACCATCAACGCAATGTATCAATGCACTCACAGCGTCGTCGTGGGCCTCCACCAAAATTCATCCGCATGTCAGCAAATACAAGTGCATGATCGGTGTTCACACATGAGCTTCAAATCGAGCGACAGTTCTGTGCGGTCCGATTGGCTGGCTCGTTCAAAACTTCGAAGTCGCGTGGGACTAACAGGTGTCTATTAGTTATCGCTGCCTATGCACCGACAAACTGTAGCGATGACTCGGTAAAAGACGACTTCTATCGCCAACTGAACGAACTCCTTCGCCACAGAAGAAGCTCGGACACTGTAGTGCTGGCTGGGGATCTGAACGCTCAAGTTGGAAAATTATCCACAGATGAGCTGCATCTGGGCGGCCAACATGGTATAGGCTTCCGTAATGATAACGGTGAGTGGTTACTTCATTTGTGTGAGGATGCTCGCTTCTTTCTTGCGAGTACTAATTTCCGACACAGCACCCGCCGGAGGGTGACTTGGCGGCCACCAGCCTCGAACCAGCTATGGACGCAAATCGATCACATTGCTATCAGTTACCGCTGGAGAGGCTGCGTCCAGAACTGTCGCTCGATTTGGAGCACAGGTGTTGATACCGATCATGCACTTGTATGTGCTGACCTGCGGATGCGCTTTGGCGGACGCCCGCGACGATGTTGTGAGCGCATTGATACCGGCAGACTAGTGAAGCCAGCTGTTCTGAACGCCTATCAAATTACGCTATCATCCGAGTTGGATAAACGCTCACTGGATGCGATTGAAGCTCACTGGTCTCATATGCAACAGGCCTTAATAGCAGCAGGCAAATCCTCATGTGGTATGTCTAATCGCCAACATGAACATGGGGTCTTTTCACAGTCTCTGGAACTTATAGATGCTCGCCGGCATATCCCGGCTGGAAGCGAACACAATGAAACTCGCAAAGAGCTCCGGGCGAAACTCCGTGCTAGCCTGAAGAGAGACCGCGAATCCTGGTGGTCTCAACGTGCATCAGAGATGGAAATGGCCGCTGCCCTTGGTAACCATCGTGAGTTATTCCGTCTTATACGGGAAACGGGCAGCATGAGACCTGGTGTTAGTGAAACTATACGTGACGAGAGTGGACAGCCTATCCACAACTTATCAAAACGCCTGGAACGTTGGGTTGAGCACTTTGAAAGGCAATTCAATCGGTCGGAATTGTTGGATTTCTCGCTGACCAGTGATCGCCCTGCTCCGTGGGCTGTTCCTTTGGATCCACCCTCACGCTCAGAAGTCGAACGTGAGATCGCACTGTTGAAGTTAAATAAAGCCGCGGGACCTGATGACCTTCCTCCAGCCCTCTTCAAATTCGGGGGACCTGCTCTTGTGGATGATTTACACGAGTTACTAGTGAAACTGTGGGAGCAGGAAACTGTCCCAACCGATTGGAGCCGCTCCATCATAGTCCCAATTTTCAAAGAAGGCTCACGATCGGAATGCGACAGCCATAAAGGAAGCAGTCTGATCTCCATCGCATCCAAATTGCTTGCCTCTGTCATCCTTCACAGACTGACTGGCAATCGTGAAAGCCACATTCGTGAGAATCAAGCTGGATTTCGTCGAGGTCGTGGCTGCATTGACCACATCTTCACTTTTCGTCTGTTGTTTGAGCACCGTCACATTTATTGGCGGCCCACCGTAGTCGTGTTCCTCGACATCAAAGGTGCATTCGAATCGGTGGATAGACATGCACTTTATGACTGTCTACT